CACAGTTGGACACATAACCGACAGAGCCCCCCAGGGGCCCCAGTCCTGAGGAGATTCTGTCCTGGCACATCAGCAACCCATTTGCACCAATTTGCTGAACTCCAGGAAAACTCTTACATATGTACATCAGGAGGCGTGTACAGGGATGTTTGTAGGGGCTTTATTCATAAGAGTGCATGCATACGTGCGCGCGCACACGCACAGCGATACAACCTACGTATCAGGAAGGGAATGGATAAAGCGATATGGTCACGTAGTGGAAAGGAATGAACCAGAACCAACCTACCAACTTGGATGATGCTCAGTGTTAATCCAAATAATGGGTTGCAAAAGTATACATACCCCTCATGCTGTCTCTGTAAAATTTTAAATGAAGCAAAACGACACTATTTATTGCTTAGGGATATTTACAGAAATGTTAACATCTATGGAAATGCGTGGGATGATAAGAACCAAGTTCTGGAATAAGAAGTCACCTCAGGGAGCTGACATTGGGGAGAATCCAAGGGGGCTCTGTTGACGTTGCCAGTATTTAAGTTTCTGAGCTCCCTGGTAGATACATAAATACATGTTGGCTACACAATATGCTTTGTTATATGTTAAATATCCTGTAGAGGTTTCACATGAAAATGAAAGCTGTGAGAGGAGTCCAAGATGAGACAGGCAAGCGAGCCAGGGGTCAGATGGTAGGTGGCTCTGCAGGCCATTTTCAAGTTTGGCTTTCATCTAAGGGCAAAGGGGAACCATAGACAGGTGTCGGGAAGCGTGGGCGGGTCCATCATGTTAGCAGCTCGATCATGGACTCCTGCTACCCAGTGGGGAGTGGATTTGTGGAGGGTGGAGAAGTTCGGAGAAATTTGCCGCGGCCCCAGCAGTCGAGAACCTCCTCCTTGACATGGCATCTTCTGCTTCCAGAATGTTCTTTCCCTCTTCTCTGGCCATGACCCTTCATCCCCATTTCTAATTCCTCTTCCTCTCCCGGCCCCTTAGTGTTGCTGTTTCCCAGAGTGTTTACCCTCTTTTCACTTTTTAGGGCTATGTCTTCATAACATCACTCATGTCGCACCTTCATTCACCATCTCCATGCTCTTGGTTCTCAGATTTATTCCTGCAACCCAGTCCTTTTTCCCAGCTCCAAACTGCCTACTGGATATTTTTCCTTGACTGTCTCATAATTGAAACAAAATCCAGCATGTCTGAATGGTGTTATTCTTCTCTCCACTACTCTTCTCTTTCCTGCTGTGTTTGGGGTCTTGATTAACCGCATTGCGATCTATCCCCTTGTCTGATCTTGGAAACCGGGTATGATTCTAGACTCCTCCCTCTGTCATTTTCCCTCTCTAACTGGGTTTCATGTTAGGGATTAAGGGTCAGGTTTGGGTGCTCTGTGCTATGACATGTTTAGGGACCCAGGAATGGACAATTCCTGCCTTATTAGTCACGTTACTGCCCTCCTCGTCACCGCCAGCAAGACACGATACCAACCTCAGAGCATTACAGATAAGGCCCTTCTGGATATGGCCACTCTTGACTTTTCCATCCTTATTTGCACCATTTTACTGTCCCACACTCTTTGCAGCCATGCCAACCAACCCACTTGAATGTGCCATACTTTTTTAGGGCTCTGTGCCTTGGTGTATGCCGCCCTCTCTGCTTAGAATGCCTTTTCTGACTGCTTGTCTGGTGAACTCTTGAAGTCTTTAAAACTAGCCTGAGACAGCCCTGGTCATGCTGGGCCCGAATTCCTAGTTTACATACCTGCGTATCCCCGGTAAACTCTGAACCTCTGAGGTACAGAGAGCGCCCATTCCCTTTTTACCTTCCTGTCCTGAAACACCGCACAAGCTCTACTAGTGTGGTTAGGGCTGACTGTCCCAGCAAACATCCCCTTCTCTTTCTGCCCTGCGCTAGGATGGTGGGAGATGAGTTGCAAATTACTGAAACAAACATTCCAGAGGAAAAAATACATTGTAAACTCTTAGAACAGATATTCTGTCTTCTGCACTTTTCGTATTTGTTACATTGCTTGGAGCAATTCTGGAAGGAAGGGTTTATATAGAGAGAATTTTAAACAAAAGTTTCAGTGTTCTCCATCCGGGTCCCTGATTTTTCCAGGATTTGTCTTCATGGTCTCTTCAATTTCTTTTTTGTCAGTCTTCAAGTTTTTACTCATACTGCCTTCTGCTCATCTCCCAGGAATGTTTAAGCTTCCTTGGTCCTTTAACAAGAGAATGATGATGATGGATGATGATGATGGTGGTGGTGGTGGTGGTGGTGGTGGTGATAAACCTGTCTTCAACACTGCTGCTTATTCTTCAAACTCTTTCCCTATTCCTTTCCTCCTTTTCATTATTTCTAAGAAACAGCTATTTATGCTCAGTACATTTACTTGCTAATAGTTTATTCACTCTGCCCACTGGAGTCTGACGTTAGGCATTACCACGAGCAAAAAGCTTTCTTTCAAAGGTACAAGCGACTTCCAGCTTGCCCATCCAGCTATGTCTCTTTAACCACAATGCCACCTCTTCTCTCCGTAGCTGTGGATGCTATGGTGTTGATGATCTTTTCCTCTTAAAAATGTTTTCCACTCTTCACTTCTGTATCATGGTACTCTTTTTTTTTTTTTTTAAGTTTGTTTGTTTGTTTGCTTGTTTAGAGAGAGCACATGAGCAGGGGAAGGGCAGAGAGGGAGGGAGAGGGAATCCCAAGCAGGCTCTGCACTGTCCATCCAGAGCCAGACACGGGGCTCGATCCCATGACTGTGAGATCATGACCTGAGCCAAAATCAAGAGTCAGACACTTAACCCACTGAGCCACCCTGGGTCCCCTCATGGTACTTACAATTTCTAGTCTTTCTCTGACTCTTGCATTTCACTGGGAAAGTGGAGCAGTGTCTTATATTTGGAGTCACCATATAATGGGGCACATAGGATTCTATCTTTATCCACTGACACGTGTTCAAGAAGTATTTACTGAGTGACAGTGACGTGCCAGGCACTGGATGGGTAATGGAGAACAAAACGGATTACGGTCTAACTTTCTCAAGTCCAGAGTTTCACCTTTGTGTTTCTTATCTATTCCTGTGTAACAAATTACCACCAACTTAGTAACTTAAAATAAGATACATTCGCTGTCACAGTTTTTATGGAGCAGGCGTCTGGCTGTGGCTCAGCCCCGCCCTGTGCTCTGGGGTCTCTCACGAGCCTGCAGTCACAGGGTCGAGCCTGCAGTCACAGGGTCGGCCAGGACTGGAGACCCACCCGCAGCCCCCAGCGGGGAGGGGTCTGCGTGCCGGCTCACGGTCGTGTTGGCAGGATTCCTTTCCTGGCGGACCGTGGGCCGATGGCCTCAGAGCCGGGACACCTCAGTTCTTGCCACGTGGGTCTCTGCCCGTGGCAGCTCGCTTCATCAGAGCTAGCGAGGAGGGCCGCAGAGTTGACTTGCAAGATGGAAGTTATAACCGCATGCAATATGTCCGTGGAGATGATATCCCAGTACTGGTTCTGGGTTCTAATGGGTGGAAGCAAGTCACAGATCCTAACCCACACTCAGACGAGATTACACGGGACAGAAATGCCGGGAAGCGGAGACTCAGGAGCTCAGGAGAGGCTTCCCTAAGTGTCCCTCTGTTTTTGCCTCTGATGGTACAGCCGTCTCCACTTCTACTGCTCTCCAAGCGCACTCCCTCCCCGCCTTGCCCATCCCTGCTTCTCTCCCTGTATTCCCTGAGCTGGGCAGCTGCCTCGTGTCTTCTCTGGGAAGGAAACCCGGACATCATTTTCAACGCTTCATCCAGAGGTTGAAAGGGCCACTGGGTTCTGTACTATCTACCCCTGGGGCGTGTTTCCTGTGGTTCTCTACCGTCCATTGACACTGACCTGGGTGTAAAGATGCCTCTTTTTTCAAACGTCAAAAGGCAGAGGCTGGATCTTTTTTTTTTTAATATTTTTATTTATTTCTAGGAGAGAGAGAGAGAGACAGCGTGAGCAGGGGAGGGTCAGAGAGAGAGGGAGTCACAGACTGAAACAGGCTCCAGGCTCCGAGCTGGCAGTCAGCACAGAGCCCGACGCGGGGCTCGAACCCACGAACCGCGAGATCATGACCTAAGAGAAAGTCGGACGCTTAACCGACTAAGCCACCCAGGCGTCCCGGCAGAGGCTGGATCTTATTCTGTGGATCTGAAGTGCCAGCCGCTAGAGCAGTGATTCTGAGCCTCGACTGATCACCCAGGAGCTGAGAATGTCACTGGTGCCTGGGACCCATCACCAGAGATGATGGCGTGGTGGGTCCCAGGTGCAGCTGGACGCTGGCATTTAAAAGTCTCGGTGACTCAAGCATGCAGACAACAGTGAAAGCCATTGCTTCTAGTTGAAGAAATCAAGTCTCTGGGAGAAAGAAAGGAGGAGAAAAGGGTAAACATTTAATGAATAGGAAGAAGTTAAAACTAGAGTTAAAGTTGCTTTAAAAAAATCACACAAACTTCAGAAAGAATCTGACACAGCTCAGTCATCAAAACAATCTCTAAAATGATCAATCTAGGGGCCTTGGTGGCTCAGTCGGTTAAGCGTCCGACTTTGGATCAGGTCATGATCCTACAGTTCACAAGTTCGAACCCCGTGTCGGGCTCTGTGCTGACAGCTCAGAGCCTGGAGCTGCTTCAGATTCAATGTCTCCTTCTCTCTCTGCCCCTCCCCTGTTTGTGCTCTGTCTCTGTCTGTCTCTAAAACAAATAAACAAAACCAAAAACAAAACACTAAAATGATCAGTGAAGTTGGGGAATATGTACCTTTGGGGAACGAGGGGAGATCAGAAATGTCAAAGAGTAAAAGACATAGTTTCTCAAAAGATAACACGTTAGTTTTTGTATTTAGGAAGTAAATAAAGAACCATCTGAAATAATTCGCATTTTTCTTTGTGTTTAGCGTGTGCATGCGTGCAGTTACATGCGCAAAGGTATAATTTAGTTTCAAGTTATTCTGATTTTCTCCTTCATTTTCCAGGAATATCTTGAAGACAGTCGCGCTGGGTCAGATGTTGTCTTTGTGCATATGTGGGACGGCCATTACCAGCCAGTACTTGGCAGAGCAGTACAAAGTGAACACGCCCATGCTTCAGAGCTTTATCAACTATTGCTTGCTGCTGCTGTTTTACACGGTGATGCTGGCCTTCCAGTCAGGTGGGTCCAGTGTGAGAACGGCCTTTTAGACCAATTGTCTTTATAAAAATGTTTGTCTATATAAGGCTTCTAGGTCCTTAAAAAATAAAATGCGAGGTGAAACCAAGAACAGAAAACTTTTTCGTCAAAGTTATTAGAAAAGGAGGGCCCCTCTGAATGCTATGTAAATAGCGACCGGAGATTTACGTATAATAACTCTGTGAGCAGGTAGCACCAAACGGTATCGGTAGAAGTTGACAAGAAATGTAAAAAAGTTCCAGGACACCTGATTGGCTCAGTTGATAAAGCATGGGACTCTTGATCTCAGGGTTGTAAGTTTGAGCCCCATGTTGGAGGTAGAGATGACTTTAAAAAAAATAAAAATAAAAAAAGTGGAAGTGCCATGAAGAGTCAGGTTTTATTTGTTCCCTCCTGTGGTTGATAAATTTAAGAGACAATATTAAAAGCCCATAAAAAGAGCCTCCTCTCCGAAATACACATTTCCAGCCAAATGGAGAGTGTCGAAGCATGCATTGTGTGTAGATCAAGTCTATGTTGGGAGAAAGACAAACTGGCAAGGAATTAACATCTTTTTTTTTAAGGTTTGTTTATTTTGAGAGAGAGTAGAGCAGGGGAGGGTCAGAGAGAGGGAGAGAGAGGGAGAGAGAGAGAATCCCATGCTGACAGACAGACTGATGTAAGGCTTGATCTCATGAACCATGAGATCATGACCTAAGCCAAAATCAAGAGTAAGACACTTAACCTACTGAGCCACTCAGGCTCCCCCCACCTTTAAAAAATATTAATTTATTTATTTTGAGAGCGAGTAGAGGAGGGGCAGAGAGAGTGGGAGAGAAGGAATTAACATCCTTCTTACTGGCTGGTTAAGTTGTTTTAATTTTTTTTAACGTTTATTTTTGAGAATGAGCACAAGGAGGGAGGAACAGAGAGAGAGAGACATAGAATCTGAAGCAGCTCCAGGCTCTGAGCTGTCAGCACACAGCCCGATGCAGGGGCGCTCGAACCCATGAACTGTGAGATCATAACCTGAGCTGAAGTTGGACACTTACCTGACTGAACCCACCCACATAAGTTGTTTTAGAATCATTATAGAATTATGATTTTTAGCTGCTACACAAAAAATGTGAAAGGTTCTAACTGACATCTGGTCCAGATACCATTTGAATTGCTTACCTCATTTTGTTACGTGCTATGTCACTAAGTCCTCCCAGGGAAGCAAAGTGAATGTTAACTGTTATCCTCACTTTGCAGGTGAGGAAACAGAGGCACACAGCTCATGATGGCCGGTTGTGACTAGTGGAGCCAGATTCCAAGCCAGGCAGCCTGTCCCCGAGCCCACTCTCTGCACCAGGGGCTGTTAGTCATGACAGACGTCCGTCCTGAGAGAGGAGAGTGCGAGGGACACGTGGGTGGCTCAGTTAAACGTCCAACTCTTGGTTTCGGCTCAGGTCATGATCTCATGGTTTTGTGGGTTCGGGAACGTCCAGAGAGCAAACAGTCATTCCCACTCAACAGGACATGGCTTGAAAGGGCCCTGCCCACACCCCTTGGGGGACTTCCCTGACGTGTTTATAAATCGCACTGACTTCAGGAGGAAGCCCCACATCGGGCTCCGTGCTGACAGCGCGAAGCCTGCTTGGGATTCTCTCTCTCCCTCTCTCTCTCTGCCCCTCCCCACTTGTGCTGTCTCTGTCTCTCTCAGAATAAATAAATAAATTTAAAAAACAAACAAAGGAGAAGAGATTGAATCCAGGAATGTGAAAATGAGGAGTAACCCAGACTGACCAAGAGCGGACTGTACTTCCATTTTTGGTATTTTAAGGCACATCTTGAAATCACTGGTGTTTGCTAATCCTCTCGTAATATGAACCTTACCAGGTCGGTGGTATTCCTGTGTAGGGACAGGGGACTTATTTTTGAAAGAAAATGGAAGCCAGTTGTGGGGGGAATATCATAAGGGGAAAGCACCAAATTTGGCAAGAACATTAGGAGTTGGAAGCTGAATTGGACACATGGTAATTGGCCCCGGACTTCACTCCTCTGTGAGCTGCTCTGAACTGAAGGAAGTCAGTGCGATTCATAGACACATCAGGGACGTCCCCCGGGGGTGTTAGCAGGGCCTTGCAAGCTGTGTCATGTTGAGTAAGACTGACTTTTTGTTTTCAGGATGTTCCTGCGAATTGGACTTCAGTGATAATTCTTTGGGTAGATGCTTACTTGCAGGTTATCTTACCGTGAAACCTTCTGCTGTATGTGCTGACTGTGTGCCTCCCACCTGCTAGATTCTGCAGAGAAGTGAATTGCAGTTGACCTGAATAAGGAGAATTTGGGCAATTTCTTCAGTGATGCCACCAAGTCTTTTTTCCAAACATATCACTGACTTAATTGTCTCTTGAAAGCACATCTCTTCCAAAAGAATGACCAAGTGCAAGGATTAAATGACCAGTGGATTTATAAGAAAACTTTTGATTTCTTAGGATAATCTGTAGCTTTTCAGGAATGACAGCAGGCAAGCCCACATCTGGATGTTATATTTCTGTGACGGTAGGAAAGGAGATCTAACCAGTTTTCTCCTACTTATTTTCTCTCTGGTGTTTTCTCTGAACACTTGGGCTCTGGTGACACCTTAGCCTGGGTCTCCTAACAGAAACAAATCTACCTGACTCTGCTGAGTCACTGTAGGCATTTAGGTTCTGAATAATGGAAATTAGGAAGCACCACATTCAAAATACATAGTGAACATTTGCTTTGACTCTTTAATCTCTAAATTAACATGCATAGTAATATTTTCTTTTCTTTCTTTAAAAAAGTATTATGTATTTATTTTGAGAGAGTGAGAAACAGAGCACACAAGTGAAGGAGGGGCAGAGAGGGAGACTGGGAACCCTGAACAGGCTCCACACCCTCAGTGCAGACCCCACTATGGGGCTCAGTCTCATGAACCGTGAGATCATGACCTGAGCCAAAGTCATGAGCCAGACGCTTAACCAACTGAGCCACCCAGGCGTCCCCTTAGTATCATTTTCAAGTAACATGTGCCAACCCAGATTTCTTTCAACCAGGGAGTGATAACCTTCTGTACATCTTGAAGAGAAAATGGTGGAAATACATCCTGCTTGGACTAGCAGACGTGGAAGCTAACTACCTGATCGTCAGAGCATACCAGTATACGACTCTAACCAGTGTCCAGGTAAGGGGGAGTCTCTGACCAGTGAGGATTTTTCAACTTCAGGAAAAGAAGCGGAGCCCATTTGTGCTAATCAAACTTTATGGAAAACCTGTTCACTTGCAGAAAGTCTAAACACAGGTGGATGCTGTTTTTTTAGTGGAGCTTACGTGCTAATGAATAAGATCTCCTTGAATTAGTGAAAACATATACAAGGTAATCAGTTCACAACCTGCCAGTGCGGCTACATAGTAGAACAGTTGATACCAAAATAAGCATAAATATTTAGTTGGCCACTGATGCTGTGATGTTAACAAGAGTTCTATTTTAAGTTTACTGAAACCTGGCACATAAAGTGGGTATACTTTGGGCGCTACAGAAGACTTGGAGGTTTGCTAGTAAAGTCGATATTCCAGACAAAGGGACCATTGGACTTGTTGCAGGGAGCTCTGTAGACATCTGGGCTATGCAGAGATTCAGCGTCTTGCGTAGCCAAACTCAAAAGCGGTATCCTTATTCCTTTGTTAGGTTGATTTTTTTTTTTACTGTTTTATTTATTTCTAGGAGAGAGAGAGAGAGAGACAGCGTGAGCAGGGGAGGGTCAGAGAGAGAGGGAGACACAGACTCTGAAACAGGCTCCAGGCTCTGAGCTGGCAGTCAGCACAGAGCCCGACGCGGGGCTCGAACCCACGAACCGTGAGATCATGACCTAAGCGAAAGTCGGACGCCCAACCGACTAAGCCACCCAGGCGCCCCTGTTAGGTTGATTCTTGATGGATTGAAAGAAAGCTCTTCCCGCAGAGCAGTACTGTTCACTTTGGTGGAGTTGAGGGGCGGATGGAGCTGCCTGATGTTAGCAGACTATGGGCTGTCTGCTGACGCCGACTCACCAGTGTGAACAGCTGCATCATTTGTAAAGGGAGAGTCCAGTGCCAGGTTTAGACTTCACAGTTTAGTAGATTTGTAATGTTTTTGTTTTTTTGTTTTGTTTTTTGAGAGAGAAAGAGAGTGAGAGACAGAGAGAGTGCATGCAAGCGAGGGAAGGGCAGAGGGACAGAGAGAGAGAGAGAGAGAGAGTCAGAGAGGGAGTCTCAAGAAGGTTCCACGCCCATTGCAGAGCCTGACATGGGGCTCGGTGCCATGACTGTGGGGTCATGACCTGAGTCAGATGTTCACCTGGCTGAGCCACCCAGGTGCCCCTAGTTTTATAACTTTCTGATGCATCAGTTTTCTCACCATTTTAAATGCAGAAATGTTCTTTTTTTATGTTTATTTATTTTTGAGAGAGAGAGCATGAGCAGAGGAGGGGCAGAAAGAGATGGAGACACAGAATCAATCTAAAGCAGGCTCCAGGCTCTGAGCTGGCTGTTAGCACAGAGCCCAACATGGGGCTCAAACCCATGAACCAGAGATCATGGCCTGAGCAGAAGTCAGACGCTTAACCGACAGAGCCACCCAGGTGCTCCTAAAATACAGAGATGTTTTTATTTCATCTTCACATTTTAGGACCATGGAAAAATTGAAGTGAAATTAGATATATCTCATTTGGAAGACATAAGGATTGATGAAAATTCAGTATTTTTCCAATGTGAATATACATTAAATGCTATTATTACCTGAATGCATCTTATTAAATATTTTCTGTTCAATTGTACTAATTGTGCTAAGGATTGTCTTCAGACTTTTTGGCTTTTGACTGGCTTGGGGAAATATGGGTTAAGACGGATACCACAGGAGGCACATAAAAAACCCAGCATTTCATAAAAATTAAGACCAGGAGTTACCTAAAAGGTGAAATTCATCACGAATAGGATTAAGTGTGCTTTCAGCTATGGGTAATGAGGGTATGAGTGTGTAGAAGACGGCATTTTTGCTAGTCACGTCTAGCCTTATAATCTCGGACACAATTTAATTACTTGATTAGAGCTCTCAGAAACTTTGATCTCTTGACGACTGACGATAACAAGTTTTGAATTGATACAAGGTCTAAACACAGCCAAGTGGAACTCTTACAGTTGGGCCTTTGTGACTGAAGTTCATGCCTTTTACCATTTAAAATATTTTCCTTCATTTCTAGCCTCTTAGAAAAACCTAAGCATTTGGTTGTCAAAAGGGGTTTGCTTTTGGTGCTTGCAAGGAGTACCGTGTGAGAAGGGCATCCGACCGGCATCCGACCGGCATCCGACCACTACAGCTGCCAGCTCCTCAGAGGGTGTCTGTCGCTGGGATCGTTGCAGCCCAGTCTCTGCTTGAGTAAATCTGTGGGCTGGGTGACAGGAGGGAGTTGGGGCCATGTGGTCTCTGAACCTCTTCCCTGTAAAGATTCTATAATTACAGGGGCGCCTGGGGGCCTCTGTCGGTTAAGCATCCAACTTCGGCTCAGGTCCTGATCTCGCGGTTCATGGGTTCGAGCCCCGCATCGGGCTCTGTGCTCACAGCCAGCTCAGAGCCTGGAGCCTGCTTCGGATTCTGTGTCCCTCCCTCTCTCTCTGCCCCCCTCCCCCCTCCCCACCCCACTCGTACTTTTTTTCCTCTCTCTCAAAAATGAGTAAACATTAAAAAAATCAAAGAGTGGGGCACCTGGGTGGCTCAGTTGGTTGAGCGTCTGACTTCGGCTCAGGTCATGATCTTACACTTCGTGGGGTCGAGCTGACAGCTTAGAGCCTGGAGCTGCTTCGGATTCTGTGTCTGCCTCTCTCTCTGACCCTCCCCTGCTTACTCTGTCTCTCTGTCGCTCTCTCTCTCTGTCAGAAATAAATGGAAAAAAAAAAAATAATAAAGTTTAAAAAAATAAAACATTCTGTGATTACTACCCATAATGTAGTGGTTTACATGGTACTCACGACATGGCCATCAGCACCCCAGGGGCCAGGTTGTTTGTGTTTCTTCTCACTTTACAGCGTTCCCTGCCGTCAGCCAGCTTCTCCTTGTGTGCAAGCTCTATTCTTTCTAGAACACAGTGCTTTTTGAAGCCCCCCGTCTTCCATTCTCTAAGGCCTAATTCAGTCTCACTTTCTCCTCTGTGCTCCATCTCTAGTAAAGTATTTCTAATAAAGTTTAACTCATTTTTGTGCCTCTGCCTCCCCCAGCATCTTACCTAGAACCTTGCCTCCTGTGGCTGTATAATAATTTTTAAAGATTAAATTAAATAGGTTCTTGGGACTGAAAGTGTCACAGGGAAGACTTCCATCACCAAGAGTACATGGTAGAATGGAGAATCGATGTAGGTAGGTGGCCGATTGTGCTAGGTATGAGATGAGAGGTCGTGGAACGTTGTGGTGGGACGGGACCCGTGAGATCATCCGGTCTGATCTCTTTCTCTCGTATTGTGACGCAGAGGGGGACCCGCTGGGGAGCACACGGCCGGTCAGTGGCTGCACCACCTTGGCAGCTCCCTTATATGGCCACTCACTACCTGCCAAAAATTGTTAAAAAACAGACCATTTTAAGTTAGATTTGAAGACACAATTTAAGGATAGGGAGTCTCCTGTGAAAGTGTTTGAGAGTGACCTTTTTTACCTTTTTTGTTTAAGGAATTTAGTGTAGACTTTGTTAAGTCATCATGGCTGGATTCGGCCGGTGTCTTCCGGGCCAGCCTGTTACCATGTGCGTCGCGTAATGATTTGTTACTCAGGCAGGCTCAGGAAAGCACTTAGGGGATTAGCGTTCTGCAGCTGGAATAAATAACAAGGCGCAGTGCCCATGCCTGCGCCCAGCACGGCGGCCTCCAGTAATGAGGACATTGCCGTGGAAGGCAGTCACTAAACCGCGGTGGAGAGCAGCAGACAGGCTGCTGGAGGTACAGGGACCTGTCTTGTGCCAAATGAGACAGGTTCAGAGCAAACCAGTGACAGGGTAAAAAAAAAAAAAAAAAAAAAAAGAACAGGGTGAGCTATAAAACAGTTTCAGGAGTATTTTATATATATATATAGCATATGGCGTATATTTTATCCTTGAATGCACTTCACAAAATCTGGGACCTCAAAAATTGAGTGAATAAATCCCCCCATTTTTTCTTTATCTTACCACTGATTTTGGATTTACGTGGTTTTGGCGCTGTTCACCCCCTCTGCCTTTCCGCCTGGCCATATCAGATGTGTGGCAAGTATTTTTTGGACCCGCCATTGACAGGTGATGGAGGAGTATGCGGTGAAGATGAGCCAGGGGATTTGCTGTCAGCAGGTGTCTGCCCCACACTGTGGGACGGGGTGTGGGGGGGTGCTGGACACTTCATCAGGGCGATGGTGTCTTCGGGCTTTCTGACAGTCACTGGTACTTCTCTGCTGCAGCTCGTGGCCCAACTGCGGTGAGATATCTGGTTGTGTGACTACTTATTCTACGTGTCTGGCTTTCCGTGTGTCCTGAGGGCCGTGTCTCACACCGGAGGCCGTGTCTCTCTCGTTCTCTCTCGTAGCATCTCCCACACACATGTGAGGTGTGCAAGTATTTGTTGACTTGGGCAAATAGGTGCGTGAGGGCAGCAGCTCTGCCTGCTGGTCTTATGGGTGAGCCCAGGTGGGCACACAGAAGTACAGCACGGGCTTCGGGAGGGATTCCTGGGGGGCAGCCGCCTGGTCTCCCGCTTCTAACTGTGGGTTTGGGGCAGCTCACGTGACCTCTCTGTGCCTTGGTTTTCCTCCTGTGTGAAATGGGCAATGCGGTTTCCATCTCATAGAGTTGGGAAGGTTAGACAAGCTACTCCAGGTAAAGGTAAGTGCAGGGAAGCCGGGTAAATCCCCGAAATGTACACGAAATGTACCTGGCTGGTAGTAAGTAGGTGCCGACTCCACCCTCTAGCTGAGGAGAGATGGTTTACGTTGTTTTTTCTTCCATGCAGCTTTTGGATTGCTTTGGGATTCCTGTGTTGATGGCGCTCTCGTGGTTTGTTCTCTATGCGAGATACAGAGTGATCCACTTTGTCGCCGTGGCCGTCTGTCTGTTGGGCGTGGGGACAATGGTTGGTGCTGACATTCTCGCAGGGAGGGAAGACAATTCAGGTGAGGCTGTGCTACTTTGTTTCTGGTTCAGTCACAGAAAAAACTTTTGCTTTGTTTTTTTAATTTTTAACTTATTTTGAGAGAGAGAAAGAGAGAATGTGAGCAGGGGGGAGGGGCAGAGGGAGGGAGAGAGGGCAAGTGCCGTGCTCAGTGAGGTGCCCAACGTGAGGTTCAATCCCACAACCCTGGGATCATGACCTGAGCCGAAATCAAGAACCAGACTCTCAACTGACTGAGCCACCCAGGCGCCTCATGTTTTTGCTATTACATTGCAAAGACATATGATAAAAGACAGATTTATTTGCTTCTGCTATTGTAACCACTTCCACAAAGCAGGTTTTTAAAAAATATTTGTTTATTTTTGAGAGAGAAAGAGAGCACAAGCGGGGGAGGGGCAGAGAGCAAGGGAGACACAGAATCGGAAATAGGCTCCAGGCTCTGAGCTGCCAGCACAGAGCCCGATGCGGGGCTCAAACCCACGAGCCGTGAGATCATGACCTGAGCTGAAGTCAGATGCTCAACTGACGGAGCCGCCCAGGCGCGGCTGCAAAGCAGTTTTTATGTTCCTACCTGTGCACGGTGTTTGCGTCTTTTTGTCACACTAAATAGTTTTGTTTCGTCTCATGAGAGAGCCAGTTCTTGACATATTCACAATAATCTACATTTGGCCCATACATTGAGATTAGTTTACTGGAAAAGCTACTGTAGATTGTTGGGTTTTTTTTTCTTTCATTGTTTACTGTCAAGTTTGGTTTCCATATAACTTTTTTTTTTTTTTAATCAAAAGGAAGTTTAATGTTCACTGAATGAGTGGCCTCTTTTTCAGTGGCTCTGTGGATGAGAACATGTGGTCATGGACATGCTTTGGGTCAAAGTACAGGCAATTGATGGTATAAAATCAAAATGCAGTCTCTGAACTCACCCAATCTCCAAGTGACTTTGTGTCCTTGAGAAAAAATAACCTTGACTTCCTAGCCTTCTTCCCTGTAGTTTTTAGTTAATTCCCTCCCATAAATTCCATCAGTTTCTCTGTCATGGAATCATTTCCTGGGGCCTTATGTTATGGTATGTGACTCCACCTTCCAGTCTCGTAGTCTCTGAGGGGTCGAACTGTGAAAAAAATCACAGCGGAATTGTGCCAGAAATTGAGGAGAATAAGAGTCCGTAAACCTCTAGAAATCAGGGTTTGTCCTTCTGTCAAGGATTATGTAAATGAACACGAACCAGATAAACTGCTAGAAGCAAGCTAGAGGTGGTCCCCTGTGTTGACACTGTGTTGTGTTTTGTGCCTTGTCCTTCCTGCAGGCAGTGACGTGCTGACTGGGGACATCTTGGTCCTTCTTGGAGCCTCCCTCTATGCCGTTTCTAACGTGTGTGAAGAGTACATCGTGAAGAAGCTGAGCAGGAAGGAGTTTTTAGGAATGGTGGGCCTATTTGGAACCATCATCAGCGGCATACAGCTGTAAGAGCCTAAAGTTTCCCTTACAAGCATAAGAAGCACATGTATCACACAGGATCACTTTCCAGCTACTACCACTCATTGTTGATTTGGCCCAAATTCCCATCTGAAGCCAGTGACTTGCTAACTATCTATGAGGAGATTCTTTTATTTTTTTTTTTCAAATTTATTTTTATGTGTTTTGAGAGAAAGAGAGAGCAGATGGGGAGGGACAGAGAGAGAGGGAGAGAGAGAATCCCAAGCCGGCTCCACACTGTCAGCACAGAGCCTGATGTGGGGCTCAAACTCAAGACTGTGATCATGACCTGAACCAAAGCCAAGAGTTGGACGCTTAACTGACTGAGCCACCTAGCACTCCTAGAAGATTCTAGAAATGGCAAAAAATATGCCTCATTTCCTTACAAGTGCACGATGCTTGGGATTTCTGCTTACAGTTGTGGTAGAGGCATTACCATGAAAGACTTTATTTTTCAATGATTTCCGGAAAGTATTATCTCCCTATTCACATGGAAGACATACTATCATGTTTTCCTCCTGTAGCTGACTGCTATTTGAAAACTCCTTCTACAGGCTTCATATATGTTTATGGGCTCCTTTGGGTTTTATTCTGTGTCATTTTTATTAAACCTACTTAGAAAAATTTAAAAATCAATGTAATCCCTCAATAAAGAATCAATGTAATTCCTCATTTTAGCTGACGTATAGCAACTAAAATGCTTATAAACTAGTGAAAATGAGTAAGTGGATCTCTCTGTGACCTTTTGTTTTAATTCTAGATTGATCGTTGAATGTAAGGATATTGCCAGCATTCAGTGGAACTGGAAAATTGGTATGTTCGTAGATGTTCATCCTTTTTTTTAAACAATTTTTTTTAACATTTATTTAGTTTTGAGAGACAGAGAGAGACAGAACATGAGTTGGAGAGGGGCAGAGAGAGAAGGACACACAGAGTCTGGAGCCTCTGAGCTGTTAGCATAGAGCTTCACACAGGGCTTGAACCCATGAACTATGAGATCATGACTTGAGCCGAAGTCAGATGCTTAACCAACTGAGCCACCCAGGCGCCCCTGTTTATCCTTTTTTGGTCAATATCTTTTTCCTCTTAGTGACAAAAAAAAAAGTGTCAAGAAATATCTTTATTTACATAATATTTAGCCCTTTTTAAAAAAAAAAATTACAGAGTAATTCCGTACGCAGAGGGCTCTGGCGATCTGTAGAGTTTTCCCTGAGAAGTTATAAATGAGCCTTCCCCAGGAGTTCATTCTTAATCTTTACCTTCAGGAATAGCTTTGCTGTCCTAGGAATTCTGAACAACACTGACCTTCAGTCACACTCCCTTTCAGTTAGATCTGTATCCCTTTCAATTAGATCTGTATCTTGAGTCCTCAAGGCTCAAGGCTCTTGTGAAGGAAGGTCGACTGCCTAATGTAATTTGTGAAACATTAACCCAAATAATCTGATGGCATGTGATCACCCACCACCTTCCATTGCTTCTCTCTGGTATTCCTGGGCACCTGGACTAATAAGTAATGTAGAAGAAGACAGTGGTGGAAGATCAGGAGAGGCTCCAACCTTATTTAATTGTGGGTGGGAAAGAGTTATAAACAGTCCATAAAATGCCACAGAAGTTCATATGCTGTGCTTGGATAATTTAGTTCAGTTAAATAACTTAGATTGCCAGGGTGTGAGCGGGTGTGAGTGGGTGTGTGTGGGTGTGTGTCGGGTATGGGGGCGAGACTGAAGAAGTGGTCTCAAAGCTAGACAGTGGGCACCCACACCCTCTCCGCCCGATAGAGGCTGGTTGTACTGTGCTTTCTGGGAGCACTGAATTTAATGAGATGAACAAAAGGTAATGGACCTAACCGTTGCTTTGATGACTAAAAATACTCTATTCTGAATCTAGTTACACAAATCATGTCCAACTGATGAACCAGATAAAAGCAAACAAAAGATAATGGGTGATTTTTCTTAATCGTGATTCTGCTTTTATTGACCTCATCTCACAGCATCCCTCTGCCTGGGGCGGGTGGCCGAGGCGGGTGGCTGGAGCCATGGAGCCGGTCACAACATGGGCAGTTGATTTGCCCTTCCCCATCTAAGACCCTGTTGCAGGTTTGAAGTCCTTCCCCTGGGTCATATCTGGTTATGACTGTATATTTCCCGAGAGCTTTCTGTGTTTCCTTGGCACTGCTGAGAGTTAATAGGGGACTTTGTAGATAGTATGTTAAAGGGTCAGGAATTTTATATGGCAGCCAAGCCTTCAAAGCATCCTTGCCCTCTGATTTCTTCCTGTGATATTAGATATTCACTCTTTTCCCCCCACAGCCCTGCTGTTTGTGGCGTTTGCCCTGTGTATGTTTTGCCTGTACAGCTTTATGCCGCTGGTGATTCAGGTCACCAGTGCCACTTCTGTGAACTTGGGCATCCTGACAGCCGACCTCTACAGCCTTTTCTTTGGACTCTTTCTGTTTGGCTATAAGGTAAGCAAATAGGAACACTTGCTTGGTCTAAAAGAAGTAAGGCTTTCTTCAATATTTTAGGTCCAGAATTAAACCTCGTTTTGGGGGGCAAGAACTTCACCTGACAAGGGCCCCTGGATGACTCCGTTGGTTAAGCGCCTGTCTTCAGCGTGGGGCATGATCGCGCAGTTCTTGAGTTTGAGCCCCACATCGGGCTCTATGCTGACAGCTCAGAGCCTGGAGCTAGCTTTGGATTCTGTGTCTCCCTCGCTCTCTGCCCCTTCCCTGCTCATGCTCTGTCCCTTTCTCTCGCAAAGAATGAATCAATGTTAAAAAAAATTTCACTGGACAGTTTGCACTCCAGGCAGATGGCATCTTATTAATATTATAATAAGAGTTTTGAGGTTACAGACCTCTGAAAGAGGCTTGCGTACCCTCGAGGATCCTGAGACTTTGAGAACCGCTACACTGGAAATCCGTCTGTCCTTAGTTACACCCTCAGTAAGTGCTGGCCAAGGGGCTTGCCAACACAGTGATTAGAACAGATAGTTACAATGTTGGCTGTTGCTTGATAATTTTAGTTCCATTTGGGGCAACAACTACATTTCTCTGTCCTTGTAGAATTTTGTATCCAGGGAGAAATTGTTTGGCACTGCTTTACAGTATTCCCAGGAATCGGCCGTGAACTCACGAGGCCTCGTTCCATGGGTTCTCAGAAATTTCTGCTTAAAGAAGCATAAACCGTTGTTGCCCTGCAAGGTTCTATGTAACATGAGCTAGCTGTTATCTTTATAGGTTTGCTGGTTAAGGTATTCCTGAACTAAAACTGAAGGTGTATTTAGAGCTTCTTGGTAGCATCATTAAAAAGTAACACATGTCAAAGTGAATCAGAGAAGTGATCTGACAAGCCTAGATTTTTTTTTTTTTAAATGTTTATTTATTTCTAGGAGACAGAGAGAGAGACAGCGTGAGCAGGGGAGGGCCAGAGAGGGAGCCACAGACCGAAACAGGCTCCAGGCCCCGAGCTGGCAGTCATCACAGAGCCCGACGCGGGGCTCGAACCCACGAACCGTGAGATCATGACCTAAGCGAAAGTCGGACGCTCAACCAACTAAGCCACCCAGGCACCCCATAATGAGAACAATTATAGAGGTGCCCGAGTGGCTCAGTCATTTAAGCGTCCAACTTCGACTCAGGTCATGATATGGTGGTTCAGGAGTTTGAACCCCGTATCGGGCTTTGTGCTGACAGCCCAGAGCCTGGAACCTGCTTTGGATTCTGTGTCTCTCTCTCTCCATCCCTCCCCTGCTCAAGTTCTTTCTCTCTCTTCTCTCAAAAATAAACAAACATTAAAAAAATAAATGAGAACAACTGCCAAGGGCTACAAAGTAGGCCTTCAAAGTGAGTGAGTTGTTGGAGAGAGGGGCAAGAAGGGAAGTTGTAATGCTGTGCTTGCATTTCACACAGCCACCACTAGGGGGTGATGGTGTTTTTATTCTGCAGTTAAGCTTAGCAGTTGGCAGGTTGTATGTTTCTTATGGCCCCACTCACCTGTGCTTTTTTCTTTTTAGTAAGTAAAGGTTCCTGAGTGAAACAATACTCAAGTGGGAAGGAAGAAGTAAGGTTAAAGGAATAAAAGCTTTGAAGTAAAAATACAGCTGCCACTACCTCTTATAAGTTCCCTTCATGTAGATATTTCCTCTTTCACTACTCTTAACTTTAATATGAAAAAGGCTTTCTGTATGTCATTTTTTTGGATCATATAGCTTTAAACTGTTATGCTCAAACTTGCAGCATGCGGACTTTAACTTTCCCTCCCAGTTCTTCTGCTGTATGTCTTTGTCTCTGCATGTCTAGCAGCTCACTCTTAGATCAGATTTGATTGCTTTTGGTCAGAGGCCGTTTTGAGGCTTGTAGAGCAAAGAGCAGGTCTGATGTGATCTTGAGAGGAAATTACAGAGGAGGAAAAGCATTCAGCACTTAACGAAGATACCTAGTGTTGTACAACCAGTTTTTAGAGACAGGATTATACACCCAATATAGCACCACTTTTTACAATTGTAGCATCTGACATAACTTTGGCTCTAATTTTTATTTAAAAATTCTTTTTTTTAATTAAAAAAATTTTAATGCTTTATTTCTGAGAGAGAGAGAGAGAGAGAGAGACAGACAGACAGCATGAGCAGGGGAGGGTCAGAGAGAGAGGGAGATACAGAATCTGAAGCAGGCTCCAGGCTCTGAGATAGCTGCCAGCACAGAGCTCGATGCAGGGCTTGAACCCACAATCCGTGAGATCATGACTTGAGCCGAAGTTGGATGCTCAACCGACTGAGCCACCCAGGCGCCCCTATGGTTATTTATTTATTTTTGAGAGAGAGCATGAGTGGGGGAGGGGCAGAGAGAGAGGGACACAGAATCCAAAGCAGGCTCCAGGCTCTGAGCTGTCAGCACAGAGCCCAACACGGGGACTGAACCCACGAACCATGAAATCATGACCTGAGCCGAAGTCGGATGCTCAACGAACTGAGCCACCCAGGCTCCCCACTTTGGCTCTCATTTTTTAAAAACTGACAGTTGAAAAAGAGGTTTAAAAATTTCTGCCTCTTCTGCAATTGATCATGAGTAAATACTTACTGACCAGAAGAGCCACCAGAAACTTCCTGAATAGATTCAGATACAAAGGGTAGAATTCAATAAAAGAAAAAAGGTAAAAGTAAGAGCCTTTAATTCAGGAGACTTACCCCATTCTCTCAGAGTCTCACCCCTCCAAGAGAAGTTGATTTGATAACCTGGTTCTTAAGAGGAACAAGTTACTTTTTCTTTTAAACATTTAAAACCACCAAAGCAAATGAGACATGTTTTGACCAAGTTATGTATGTTTACCCACAGTTAACAGTGAACATTTTGTAGGCAAGCATAAGTACTGGTTTTATAACGCTGCCTTTTACTCTAGATAGCTTTAGCTTTCCCTAATATTCTTTGTATCATTTTCTCCCCCAACAAATATTTATTAAATACCAGTTGTGTGTTGAGGGTCATGCTGAGTATTGGATCCCAGAACTAAAACCGGGTTCTTCTGTTCAGCTTGACATGATCACGGACTTTGCATCCTTGTCATTGCCTTTTGCACTGAATTTAGTGAAGCCTTCTGTACTTTGCGGAGGGCTGTGGCTATTCCCTTCCTTAAAGAGTTCTAAAGGCTTAAAGTGAAGAAGTAATTGAGCATCTTTAAAGAGTTAACACATGGAAGCCGATAGTGACTCGCAGAAGCCTAAGGCAGGAGATGACCAGCAATGCATTTAACGCTCACTTCACACACCTGGTTAGGTCCTCCTTGTACCTTGAGGAGTGTATCTAGTTTTTTTTTCTCCTCTCTCATCTCCTTGCCCAACCCATTGTGTTTTCTTATTGTTGTTCTTTGTTACTTCCTTATTAGGACTCTTTTTAGACATTAGAACTCTCTGGGGCATACTAAGAAATCTAAGCTAGTTTAAAAATATTTATTGGCTTGAACAAAATAGTATGCCCCCATTCTTTACTTTAAAATCAGGTTAGCAGGACCATTCATAAGTTGAGTTTGCTTGTTGCAAGGAAAAAGAAAATGGTCCTAGGCATTTAATTACACATTAATTATGCTACACACTTTCCCTAATTTTTACTGTACCTCCTTGGTCTTTAGCTTTCCTCTTTCTGTGTTTTATCTTTGATGCTGTTAAAAACAAATACTAATTTCCTTAATACTTGAACTTTTTATGGATCCTCAATTCCAGTAAGAGCGAATAAACAGAGTGTATAATATTACTTATTTTAACTTTGGGGGTAAGTCAGAATACCGTTTCCGGTAAGAATACACAGTGAGTTAGTGCTGTGTCTTCACTATATTTTGCTCTGGGCCGTTGTTTTCCTAGAGAAAGGGGTAGGGTGGAGAAGGTCACCCAGATCTCCATCTCTCTGTGGTGGGCCCGTGAGAATGGGCTCTTGCTGGAATCAGCCCTTCTGGGAGCCGAGAGGGCAGGAGATTCCTCCTGCAGGCTCCATTCCCTGTGCTTGTCTGCCTGCACTTTACACCAGTAACTTCTTTGGGTTCGAGATGTTTCTGAGAAATGATGTCTTTCGAGCTCTGAAAATCTGAATCTGCTCAGTCCACCATAAATTTGATTATGTAACACTTGCCTACAGAGACCAGATAATTTATTAAATTTTAACAAAATGGATGTTATTTTATTCTTTAAAGTTTATTTTTGAGAGAGAGAGAGAGAGTGAGTGGGGGAGGGTCAGAGAGAGAGGGAGACACAGAATCCAAAGCAGGCCTCAGGCTCCGAGCTGTCAGCACAGAGCCCGGCGCGGGGCTCGAACCCCCGAACCGCGAGACTGTGACCTGAGCTGAAATCAAGAATCAGATGCTTAACTGACTGAGCCACCCAGGCGCCCCCAAAATGGATTCCACCGCATTAGCATATAGGAAGGTTGTTGAGAACTTGTCACATCTGTACATCCACATTTTATCTTGGGTCCTGTGTTCCTCTGTTTCATGTCGGTATCATAAACTGTGCTCCGGTCTGAACTCGGCTCTCTCAAGGTGTCCAGGCTGACGTTGGATTCTCCCCACTGAGCCGGACTGGTTGCAAGGTGGGGGTGTGGCTGGGTTATCACAGAGCGAGGCCACACCTCCATTCCCTAGGGGTCCAGGGGTCCAGTTGGCCCGAGCCCGCTGCCGTGGCCAGAGCGCGTGCAGTCACTGGCCTCCGGACGGGAGGCTTTGGGGCATGAGCATCTCCTTAGGCAACTTGCAGGAGAAAAGGATCGTGAGGGGGTCACCCGGAAACAACAGCTGGCCGAGGGCAGCAGCTCGCGTGTGTGTGTCGGAGGCCACGACCCGCAGCCTGTTCTCCTCCTACTAGTTTTCGGGGCTCTACCTCCTGTCCTTCACCGTCATCATGGTGGGGTTCGTGCTCTACTGCTGCACCCCCACGCGCACGGCCGCGCCGGCGGAGAGCAGCGCGCCGCCCGTCACCGGCATCGGGGTCGACAACCTGGGGCTGAAGCTGGAGGAGCACCTGCAGGAGACGCCCCCCGCGGCGCCGTAGCTGGACGGGCAGGTGCGCCCACGCCCAGGCCTCCGCGCCCGGGACCCGGCCCGGGGAGGAGCGGCGCCCGCTGAGCGCCCGCCGAGGGGACCCTTGGGAGATTGATGGGCGGGGAGCCAGCACTGCAGCACGGAACCGGATCCACCGGTTAGATTTTACAGAGGAATACAAAATAACGTGTCAAAGGTAGAAATACGAAACTAGAGAAGACGGGGTGGCTGGGGTCGTGTCCTGCTTGAGGACTAATACCTGTTAGCGTCAGGGAGACCAGGTGTGCCCCGCACTGGGGTCTCGGAGACGGGCGGGAGGGCCTTCGAGGGAGACAGCCAGGCGCCCTCCGGCCTCAGGGCAGGGCCTGAAAGCGGGCTGTCCAGCCGGGCTGGGCGGTCAGGTGCTGGGGGGCCGGGGTGGTTTTGGGGAGGTTTCCACGTTTAGAGACAGTCGTCGTCCACCAGGCTCGTGGCCTTGATGCCATAGTGAGGTCTGGTGATTGCACACGGCGGCATGGGTGGGCCAGCCCCTGAGAACTCCTGAGATGCAGGTGTGAGTATCATAGACGCAGGGAAGAGCGGGCATACAGCGGACTGAGGAGCCCTCCATCGTTCAGAGACGATTCCACGCTGCTTCTCCCCAAGTGTTTGTAACGTGCCATGGCGTCAGCCACCACTGTGCCCCTTTGCAAAACCTCTGTATGTGAACTTGTTTTGTAATGTACTGAAGAAATTGAGGGCAAGTGTTCGTGCTATTAAAAGAGTTTGATTGCATTTGAAATGTATTCATTGTGTGGTTTCTTTGATTAACCAGTTCCCCTTCTGGATTTTAAATGACTTCATATATTCCAGATTTCTCCATATCCAGCATTTTAGGATCATGTCTTCTCTAGGGTGGCAGACCTGTCTGCCCCTGTGCTGGGATGGAGGGGAGTTCAGAGTGAACCCACAGATCATTTGCCGGAATAATCTTTTTAAAATTCTGAGTCATCTCAATTAAAATTTTTTAAAAAATATATATATATATTTTAAGTTTATTTATTTTGAGAGAGAGTGAGAGAGCGAGTGCAAGTGGGGAAGGGGCAGAGAGGGAGGGAGAGTCCCAAGCAGGCTCTGTACCGCCGGCATAGAGCCCAACGTGGGGCTCAAACCCTTGAACCTCGAGATCATGACCTGAGCCAAAGTCAGATGCTTAACCGACTGAACCACCCAGGTGCCCCTCATCATTATTATTATTTTTTCCTTTTTTGGGTGAAATAAACTTTTATTCTCTGCAGCCAATTAAAAAGTGATGTTTGGTTTTTGCTCTGTACTTTTCACGGCTGCCAGTGAGTGGACAAGTTTAGGTTGCAGTGTTTGGCCCTTTGGGGAAGACTTTCAGTTTGATTAATACATTATTTCTTAAAATATCCTGCTTTTGGGGGTGCCTGCGTGGCTCAATTGGTTAAGCATCTGACTCTTGGTTTTGGCTCAGGTTATGATCTCGCGAGTTGTGGGTTTGAGCCCTGTGTCAGGCTCAGTGCTGACAGTACAGAGCCTTCTTGGATTCCCTCTCTCTCTGCCCTTCCTTGCCTCTGTCTCTCACTCACTCTCTCTCAAAATAAATAAACATTAAAAAAAATTTTAAAAAAATCCTGCTTCGGCATAAACCTGTATCATAGGGACAGTGAAGTGGAGTCTCAGGTGACAGCATACGATGGGTCTGTCAAGGCTCAACTCTCAGGCCATCCAGGCTGGGCCTCTGGTCCTCTAGGCTACCAGGCTCTTGTTCGTATCTTCCTTGCAGCACTTACCGAGTGCTTGCTGTTTACCTGCCCTTCGTCACCACGGGCTGAGCTCTTCCAGGTCCAGTGTGGCCTTTATTCATCTTTCTAGACCTTTGGACATCTCACCTCTTGGGCATTTATTAAGTGAGGATTGTCATCGGTCCCAGTTCAGAACATTTAAGGGGAGATTGGCCAAAAGTAAGGGCTTTTATGCAGATACATTTAGGCCACATTACGTACCCTGCTCTGCCCTTTCCGCCCACCCCCCTAAGTGTGGTGTTTTCTCTCCTCTCCTCCTCTCCCTGGAGTTCCAGTGTTAGCGTCCTAAATTAGAACTTAGAAATCGCTCTTGCATAGAAGCAATGCTGTGAATGACATTCAGCAAATACAAGTTATGCAAAGCCCTGCGTCCTGGCTTACGTAAGTCTGGGAAGACGGGAGTTCACCTGTCTCTACAATAACACTTCCGTGGAAACCGCATTTTCAAACATCCGGCTCACACACAAGCTTTTGAAACACAACACGTTCTTACATTGAGAATCTCCTGTAAATTCTTTTCCAGCCTGTTAGAACAATATTGATGCTTCAATATGTTCTATTCTTGTGGATATTCATACCATTAAAAGAAACCCAACCCTGCTGAATATGAGAATAGAGCTGCTAGGTTGTTCTCTAGTCTTGTGCGAGGTAATAAATTGTGCAGCTGGACTGTGGTAACACTGGAAGGAGAGCAGCCTTTGCTGGGGCCATTTTCAGCGTTTGCGCTTTGAAAGTAGGTCCTTTTGTGGCCGGGCGATTAACATTTCTCACCCTCTGGGAGCAGCGGCTCACGGAGAAATTGTATGTTACCTGGCGTTCCCAGCAGGTGGCGCTTTAATAGGTATTCATTTCACAGACCTGAAACAAACCAGTTGTTTTATAGCGCCTCCGTAATGTCCTGCTAAATCAAAGTGTTTTGTTTTAAAAGAGGGTATTCTGATGACTGCCCGCAGCAGGGACTGGCTCTGACGAACAGGTGAAGGATAGAGTTCTCAGAGAAGGGCACAGAGTTTGGTGGCTTGGGTGAACACAGAAGCCAGCTTTCTTTGAACTTGGCAGCCTGCAGCCCCCACGGCTCTTCAAACCCTGAATCCCAAGGGGCCGCGTCCCCCCCCCCCCCCCCCCCCCCCCCCCCCCCCCCCCCCGGGAGCTGCTGAGCCAGCAGGTGCGTGTCAAGTGAGAGGAGTTGGGCAGATTTTCGTGCAACACCCAGCCGGATAGCGCGGCTGCCCTGGAGGCCTGGAGCCCGCCCTTGTGAGATGCTGTCTGAGTCGGCTCTGAGGTCTTCTGTCTGCCTCGTCACGACTCTCTTTTCCGTCATTATTATGGTGATGTGCCATTTTCATCCACATTTAATCACTTAGTATCTGGACACATCCTCAGCCCTCAAAAGATATCCATAAATCAGGGAAATTCAGCAGATAGCCACTTAGCTGATTAAAAGGCAAGAGATTTATGAGGAAATTAGGTAATGCTGAATGTGCACTTTCCCATAGTCTCAGGGCGTTTGCAGACGGCTGGCAGCCTGGAAATGGTACCTCAAGGGGAGTGAAGCTCTTCAGAAGAGCAAAATTTTCCTTGTACGATTTGATGTCCCAAACCTTCTCCTGATGCTTTTGCCGCGCACTTTCTTCCTCGGTTGAACTACTGTCCTCTTCAAGCAATCTTAAAGTGCAGACGCTTTTGGAGAAGGAAATTAAGGTCGAGAGGGAAGTCATTTGAACAATCATTGGCCCCAGCTGACCACGAGAAGCATTAAGGTGGTGCCGTACGGTTATCCCACGGTGAGCGAAGGCTGCCCATGGCCTGCCCAGTGGGGAGGCCAGATTCCAGACACCAGGTATGATGGAGGTGGGGACTAGCAGTGATAGGGCTGCCGTTCCCTCGCGGAGTCCCACCTTCTCTGACCTCAGATGTCACGTCTGCCAGGCGACCGTGCTTTTCCACTCTGGCCCGAGTATTGCACGTGTCTCCCTTCTTTGCGGTTTCCATTCTGACTTGGCCTTGTGAGCCTCTGTGAGTGCTTATCCAGTTTGGTCTTTGTGAAAAGGCAGCTGGGTGAGTGCAAGCACCTAAGTGGGGGTGCGGGGGGGACACGGACACTCCGTCGTCACGTCCGTCACCAACCCCTCCCCAGCCCTACCCTCCAATATCTTACTTCTCTAGAAACTGCTTTGTGGCTGGGACTGACAGCAGCTGCCCCAGCGAATCTGCCCCGACCCAGGACACGCCCTGGAGGCCTTCCTGTGGCACTTCAATTTCCACTCCACCTGTTGGGTTGAGTATAAATGGTACCTTCCCTTGGCCACAACTGGCATCCAACAACTTGGAGGATTTGACAGGAGGGGGAGGGCCAAGGCCTGATTCCTGATCCGCTCACTGTAGGGTGAGCCATGCCAGAACGGGCACGTGGCCCAGTCGAGAGCCCATCTGCCCGGGGAGCACGGTGTACTTCCCAAGAACTCTTGGGTCATGATACATGAACATGAGTCATGCCCCCCTCTCTTTGTGGGGAGCAGAGCAGGAAGACTCCAGGTGAGGCAGAGCTCCTGTCTGGGAGACTTATTGTAGGGGGAAGGGCACTTTCTAATTGCCTGGAGTCCAGTGACCACTTGCTAATCTAGTTACAAGGTTGGCTGGGTTATACGAGGGTGCCCACAGAGATCCCGAGACGGGGATGCATGGGACAAGAAGAGACGAGGGAACGTGAGAGTCCTAGGCCCCTGGGACTATGGATGGCACCACATTCTTGATGGTCTAGAAGTGCTTTTGTCCAGCTTACATAGGCAGGAGGAGTTTGGCAGCCTCCGGTTTCTTCTCCCCAATATACACCATTACCAAGGAGAAGGTGGTGTCTGGAGTCTGACAGAGGATGCCGTTCCTTTCCTGGTGAAGCCTGGTGACCAGGTGGGCACAGACATGATATGGTGCATTGTGGTTCTCCAGGGAACGGCCTGGACTTGGTGAAGCCTGACCAGCTGGGTCGCAGCCCTTCATACTTAGCATTTGAATTCAGACACAGTTATCTCGCGAGGTGTCAGTTGAGCTTATACACTTAATATGTCTCTTGCCCAGAGCTACAGACTTTACTTCCTGTCTAGGGATCTCCACTTTGAGGGGTCAAGCAGTGTTAAAATTTTCAGTCCTCAAAACACAGAATATTTCCCCACCTAGACCATCAGGTCCTCCTAAGGGATGTATCCCTTACTACTTCGAAAGCCATGAAGGTAACTCACCTTTTTAGAGGAGTTTCTCCAAGAGGTTCCAGTGTGTCCACACCAAATTCGGGGGCAGTAACTTTTTTCAGTGATTCTATGCTGTCCCATCCCCCCTTTAAAAAAATTTTAATTTTTTTAGAATATTTTTTAAAATTTATTTCTGAGAGACAGAGTCGGCATGAGCAGGGGAGGGTGAGAGAGAGAGAGAGAGAGGGAGACACAATCTGAAACAGGCTTCAGGGTCAGAGCTGGCTGTTAGCACAGAGCCTGACACGGGGCTCGAACCCACATACCGGGAGATCATGACCTGAGCCGAAGTTGGACACTTAACCGACTGAGCCACCCAGGCGTCCTGTCCCGTCCCCTTTTGAAGGGAAGCTGCAGTCAATAAAGGTAAAGCAGTTTTCTGGTGCTTTCCTGGCTGAAAAAGAGAGGGAAGAAAAATCCACAGATCTGTTATCTGCAAAAAGTCATTCCACTATATTAGATTTAGGAGGACTTATATTTAAGAATAAACTATCAAGTTTGAAAAATCTGGTGATTTTTCTTTAGAAGTGTAACATTTGCTAGGAATCATTCCTCTGATGGGGATTAATAACTACTTGTGCTTTATTGACATAACAGTCAAATTTGTTGCCAACGATAGCATTTCAGCTTTTGGCCCACTGGAATGATTAGTTTGTGATTTTCTCAGAGCAATAAAATTTATTTCCAACAAAGCAACTGTACATTTTATTATCTTCCCATTTCATGTTTAGCAAT